ACAGCATTCCATTAGCCTTCCTATTTATCTACTGCACCTGTGTGCGAGCTTTTTGTGTTGTGTGCATAAGTACTCTCAACTCCCTTTGTGTTCCAGCTTTCTGCAGTTTTTCCTCCATTTAACAATATTCTATTCTTTTGTCGTGCCTTCCAAAATCCTCCCTTCACATTTTCCCCACATTATACATGGCAACATACTGCTTTCACCACCATGGATTCTTATCTTGAGATCTAACTTTTGAGAGGTTCCTTATCAAACACTTTCTCTAAGTCCAAATACAACACATCTGCTGGTTCCCCATAATCTCTGGTTGCAGCTTCCTCAAAAAGCTCTAACAAATTTGTCAGACATGAATTCCCCTTCATGAAGCCATTCTGACTCTGCTTGATTAGATTATTATTTTACCAATGTGCCGCTATTGCTTCCTTAATGTCTGCTGTGCACGTATACACCTCGGTCCATCTGCTCCTGCACTCCCTTTAGAATTGTACCCAATATTTTATATTGTCCTTCAATGTTCTTCCTACCATCACCTCAAACTTCTCAGCACTGAACCTCCCTGCCAGTTAACCATCCACTTCACAAGCTTGCCAATGTCCTTTGAGTTTCACACTGTCCTCCTCACAGTTTACAATTCTTCCAAGTTTTGGGTCATCTGCAAACTTGAAAATTGTCTGCTGCACACCAACATCCAAATGATTAATATATATCAGAAAAGCAAGGGTTACAATTCTGACCCCCTGGAGAACTCCACTATAACCTATCCTCCAGGCTGAAAATTATACTTTGACCATTAATCTGCTTGCTATCACTTGTACCCATGTTGCTACTGCCGCTGTTAGATCATGACCTATAACTTTCCTCAAGTCTGTTGTGTGGTACTCCATCAAATACCTTCTGGAAAATCCATATATACCACATCAATAGCATTAGCCTCATCGAGCCCGTTACCTTTTCAAAACACTCCAGCAAGTTAGTTAATTTCCCTTTTAGATGCTGACTGTCCCCAAGTAACACACCTTTTTCCATGTGACTACTTATTCTATCCCAAATAATTGCTTCTAGACATTTGACCACCACTCAAGTTAAACTGACTGATCTATAATCGCTGTAATTATCCTTACAAATGTTCTTGAACAATGCCATAATGTTTGCAATCCTCCAGCCTTTTGTCACCTCCCCTTGAGTCTACAGAAGACTGAAAGAATATGGCCAGTGCCCTGCAACTTCTACCCTTACTTCCTTCAGAATTCTTGGATCTATCCGTCCTGATGTCTTATCAACTTTACATATGAACACTGTACCAAGGATGACTTCTTTGTTAATTTGATCATTTCTAATGACAGAGATTCCTCTTCTGTCACCACAGTCTGGACAGCATCCTCCTCTTTTATAAAGACAGAAAAAAGGTATTCATTGAACATCTCTGCAATGCCCCTGCATCCATGCGTAAGTCCTCCTTTTGGTCTTCAAATCAGCCCTACCCCTCCTTTAACTACTCCTTTGCCATTTAGATGCCAATAGAAGACTTTTCTCATAATTCCTCTTTGCTTCTGTTAATTGATTTCTCACCTCCTGAATGCGTCTTCACTTCAACTTTCCTAATATCTATTTGTATATATCTAACAAAACATAATAAATAGAACACAAACAAAGTATTGAAGAGCATTGAGGCACTGTATTACACAGTGTCAACTTCGCTGCTTCCCAATGACGAGGTGTCCTGTTTCAGAGTAGTCAGCCAATGGGAAGGCGGGAGCTCTCCAGTATGAGAACAGAGGTATGTGGTCTTGGATCAGGATATGGCTCAACATTTGGGAGTCTCACTGGGTGTCAAGCTGGCAGGTCTGGTAGGAGTATGTGTAGAGACTTTTGTTTTGGGTGGAGGGTGGAAGGTGCAGTATTGGGCAGGTGACCTACGCACCTATCAGTACTTTAAAGAGTGTAAGACACACTTCCTGGCACAAGAGGCACTTTTTCTAACACTTCTTTCAATATTTCGAAAACAAAATGTAATAGGTCAAACAACAAAGACTTCATTATCCCAGTTGTTGATAAGTCAACTAATTAATTTAACATGATTTTTTCTCTTGAGAGTCTCAGACATATTAGAGCAGAAAAAGATCAGCCAAGAGGTGGTAGGGCAATCAATTGCTGTGGTCTGTGAGGGAGCTGCTAACATAGGTGAAGAAAGGGTTAACAACTGGCAAAATTAGTTTGGAAGATGACAGTGAAAAAGGTTAGAATGTTATAGCTGTCTCAGAACATGCACTGGTCATATTTTAAACAACCTCTTTTAATTTAAAGTACGTTGGAGCAGTGGAGGGGAACATGTAATCTTATACAAAGTCTGCCCAGAGTCAAGACCAATGTGAGCATACATAAACTGGTACGTCCTACAACTGGGGCACAGGTGAAAACTCATTGTAAGTAAATGATAAGCTTAAACATCTGAACAAAAAGGAGAAAGCAACTGCACTTGCTTCTTGTGGACACAGACCCTGGTAAGTTAGAGACGCTTCTATCCAAAGCATATGACCTTTTTTTTTGCACTGGAAGGTTTGGTGAGAACAGAATCAATATTCAAGGAAACAAGAATTAAGAGTCGTTAAAGACTAGAGAATCACTCAAGGATGTTAGAACAAGAAGGTCATTTGATTCTGTTGAAAGAGTTGGCTGAAGAGGACTTTGTTTAATACGATAAAATCACCCTGGTGAAGTAGGGAGAAGTGATCTTGCTGGAGCCAGAAAGAGCTTTGGATTTGACTCCTAAGACAACAGCTCTGCAGAAGGTAAGGTATAATGTGGTGTGGGGTTTTCAGTTGTGTTAATAAGTTACTGGGAAATACCTTTTTTATAGTTTAGCATATTAGCTGCCCACTTAGTAATGCTTAGTTGATGTTGACTTTAGTGTGTTTACTATAGCAGATGTCCTAAAACATGAAATCTTGTTGTGGAATCTTCTGAGTTGGTTGCTGGAAAATTGGTGTCTCTTTTTATAAGATATAGGGTCTCCAATGCATCATAGTCAATTAGAAATCACTGACAGTAATCTCAGGATTACTTCCTCACCTAAGTGAAGGAAGACCAGAAAGGTTATGGAAATTAATGGACAGTTAAAGACGTGGGGTTGGAAGACCAATAAGTTTTTCCAAGCCACCTGTACCAGTATTGGGTTACCTGGAAGGAGAAACAGGACTGAAGAACAGTGAGACATTTTGTTTTAAGAGTTGCAAAGGTACTGAATGGGAACGTTTCATCAAAGACAAGAAACTACTATTAGTTTTAGAATATCATGAAAAATTAAGGAGTTGGAACTGAAGAACAGGGATTAGGAAGACTATCATAATAATGGCAAAAACACAAAATATGATACAAGGAAATAAGTAACAAGCAGATTTTGATTTAGGTTGAAAATTGGTAGGAAGGTAGGAGATGGAATAGAGATAAAGAGTACATACTCAAGATTGAAAAGATGTGGTCAGTGGTGTTCCCCAGGGATGTGTTCTGGGCCTTCAACTTTTCATCATGCTTATGAATGACTTGGAAGAAGAAATAGAAGATTGCACATTCAAATTTGCAGCTGGCACTAAGTTTAGACAGATAGTAATTAGTGCAGACAGAAAGAGGGAGTTCCAAAGAAACAGACACATTGAGTGGACAAGACTGTGACAGATCAACCTCAATCTGGTGAAGTACATGGTGGACCCAAGAAAGGCAATTTTTTTCTATAGGAGCCTAGGGACAGGAATAGATTATAAAGCTCAAGGCCTTTCCCTTTTATAATGACTGATGTGCATCCTAACTACTCATCTGCCATAGCTCAAGATCCCTTAATACCCTTGGTTGTAAAATCTATTCATCTCCTGTGAAATTAACTGAGGTAGTATCTATGACATATTGTGGGAGAGAGTCTGAAGTTTTACTTCTCATGGTACAAATAAGGTTTCCTACCTTCTCTGCTAAATAACCTGGTTCTGATTTTAAATGTATCATGTCTGTACCAGTTCCTTAAAAAGCTACCTGGCTACTTCCATTCTCCAGCACCATCTCGGCCATCTTCTAAATGAATCACTTTCAAACATACATCCAGCTCTCTTTTTGAAACCTCCTATGGAATCACCTCCATTACTGAGGCAGCACATTCTAAATTCTAATAACGCCGAGTAAAGAAGTTTCTCCTCATCTCACTACTAGCTCCCTTACTGACAATTTCAAAATTGTAACCCTTAGTTACTGAAATACCAAATGGAATATCCTTCCTTACCCTGTCAAAATTGTTCATAATTTTAAACACCTCAATAAGGTCACCTCTTCAACCTTATCTGCTTCAAGGAGAATAAGCCCAATATCTTTAATCTTTCCTTGCATCTAAAATCCCTCATTCCTTATATCATTGCAATAAATCTCCTTTGCACTCTCTCCAGGGCTTTAACATCCTTCCTTAAATAAGGTGTCCAGAACACAATACTGTAAATGTGGTCTGACCAATGATTTGTTGAGGTGAAGCATCACTTCCTTTTTTACAAATACTCTGTTTATAAACCCAAGGATCCTGTAAGCCTTCTCAGCAGAAAGTTCAAAAGCTTCACTGGAAGGCGTAGAATGGTACATTTTGATTTCTTTCCCACAGATTAAAAAGCTCAGTTAAATTGACAATGCTTCAGTATCCTACAATACCTGACGACTGTACTATCTTGTGCTGAAACAAGTCCAGCTCATATTACACTTTAGATCTGTTGAGATGATTTGTATTTTATACATTAAGTTTATTTTGAATTTTAAGAGGCATGTTTCACGTGTTAAACCCTTCTTGATGTATAACCTCATGATTGCATTCTTATTAAATATTCCATTATTGGAATTATTGCCACAAAGACTTACTTATAAATGTAATGGGTGGAAACCGCTCAAAAATCATAGAATTCAATATATTATAAAACTAACAGGATTAATTACAATAGCCCCCAAAAACTGTCAATTTAAATAATTTTACTTACCTGCAGTTTGTGCAGGGTTGATGCCAATTCCATCTGCAATGAAACACATTCATCTTAAACTATCACAATTCCAGGAGGAAGACAACCAGTTTTCTGATAGAACAGTGGCTGGTAACACAATTGCTTAACAATTAATGTAGCTACAATTTGCTGCGTACATATTGAAAAGTTAGACCATTCACAAAATTAGCATTCCCTTCTTTGATATCACATGTATGGCTGTTCGGCATATTGGACTCAAGATGTTTATAAATTTGAGATAACACGGTGTAGAGCTGGATGAACACTATCTCTGTAACATGTTTATAATTTGCTTTTTTGCAAACCTCTATCTATTCTTGTTAGATGGCAAATACTGGAGCAAACAAGATGACAATTTTGAGCAATAACAGAAGGGTAAGTGTACTAGTTATATTTTTCATTTCAGATTATCCAGCAATTCAGGCATATTTTATGTAATCAAAACATTTTTTTAAAAATTGCATTAAAGTCTATTTCAACATATTTCCATTTGGTGCTTTTTTGAAGGAATGTCACATTGTGTCAATTTTCTAAAATTGTGTCTCTTCAAAAGCATCAAAGCCATTTTCCTTAACGCGCCCACACTACTGTAATATATACAGTACCTAATAAAATACTAGAGTAATAAAAGTATTGACAATGTTAACTTGCAATCTGAATTTTCAAATGCTGTACATATTTCAGCTGTCAAACATTTATTGTATTATAATTACTCTGGATTTAGAATTTGTCAATGTCTGCCAATAAAACACTGATCCAAACAGGAGCAAAACAAAACACTCAATGTTGATGGTATTGCAATAAAATACTTCATATTTCCTTACCATTTGTTATGATAGCACTGCTTGCTGCAGGTACTTTAAACTGAAAACAAAGAAAGATATTGAGAATAAACTTAAATATTCAAGTCTGAAAATTTTTTTAAACAACAAATTCTCCTAAAGTGATTTTTGGAGATTATGCAAAATTGCGTTCGACTAAGGTGTTACCATCAAAATAGTTTTTGGATCTTGGCTAGCACGGGAGCCAAAGAACTGCATCAATATCACGGTTATTAACACTAATGGTCTTTTGTATAATAAGCAGCTTTACATTATTCTCACCAATTTAACAAATTCACTTTAAAATGCTTAAATGACAAGATGATTTTGAAATCTTGAAAAATAATTGAAGACTAATATAAAGCAAGATATTTAGCCATAATTTAACACTTATGATAGTGATAATACATGGACTATCGATTTCTGAATTTCAACATCTAATTTTAATATCTGGGATATTCATGGAGTGAATTGGTTTTTAAGAGGGAAAAAAAATCACTGACTTAAAACGATCACAGCAATTTTGACCACATGCATTATCCAGGATTCATAAAACCAATGTGAAATGAACAAAAGCATTAGAATTGAAATTAGCATTTTCAATCAAAAGTCATTGAAACTAGTTCACCCAGTTAATTGTGAAGGAGCCCTGAACTCCTATCTTGATTTATACCTGTATGACAAGTTTCATATGTTAGAGATGAAAGCCATCACCTGTAACTACCAAACTGGGAAACAACTTAGGCAGCTGTATTTCGTGGAACTGCTATTGGCAGAGCAGGGAAGATGAATTTGTGACAACAGAACTGGAGGAATCTCTCTACCTTTCGAAGGGTATGTACCCGGTGACAACAAATTGGAGGGAAATATCCAGACATCAAAAACATAAGAGACGTGCAATATTCTCATCTGCTGATAATACAAGACATCAATTAAACAACTGTGATCTCAAGTTAAATCCTTAAGGCCACCCTAATGATGTTAAACTGTATAACTCTTCCATCTTCCTTTTGTACTGGACACTATTTTATTATAATTTTGTACCCGTGTATATGTTTGACTTTGCATTTTTACTATTTTACTTGGGTTAACAGATAATAAAAGTGTTTCTTCTTTCACTCAAGAAAACATTAAAATTAGCTCTTTGGTGATACAGTAGACATTGGGTAATTTTGACCCATTTTAAATGGGTAGCACAGCAATCAAGTGGCTATTGCAGAGCAGCTCGACATGGAAAGCTCACTAGTTTACTCCTTTTGCCTGAGAGAGCACAATCAACTGAGTCAGTAAATGGATGGTTGGGCATTCCACTGAAACTCAGGCTGCAAGACAAATGTCTATAGTATTCAAAGTGTTCAGTGTTTGCTCTGGTATCTCTGCTGACCTGGGCAGCTGTCAGGAGTTTATGTCAAAAGGAGCAATGACACTGTTTTAAACTGCCAATGATGCAAATTATCATTCTAGGACACTAGGTGCTCATAAACCTTAAGAGTGTTGGAAAATGAAAGATTTCCCACCCGCAAGCAAGTGCCAGTTTGCTGATAAAGTGGCTTATGGAGAAGAGTATAGCAATGCTACTGGTTAAAGATTACTGAGAGTAAATGTGTTATGAGCCTAGTAGCTCTGGGTGGAGCCACAAGCTTGCCAACCCCAGGAGTGGATATTTTATTGAGCAACATTCTGGACAGTAGCAAAACATAACCCTGAAAATGAAATGTCAGCCCAGAGAGGCTGAAAGCAAGGTCATAAAATATAGATGTCAGCCATTCGGCCCATCAAATCTGCTCTGTCTTTCAATGAGATCACAGTTGATTTGGCAATCCTCAACTCCACTTTCTTGCCTTTTCCCAACATTTGATTCCCTTACTGATTAAATATCTTACTATTTCAGCCTTGAATATACTTAACAATCCAACTTCAACAGCCCTCTGCAGTAAAGAATTCCACAGATTCATTACCCTCAGAGCAGAAATTCCTTCTCATCGCTGTTTTAAATCACAAACCCCTATTCTGAGATTATGCTCACTGGTCCTGTATTCTCCCACAAGGGGAAAGAGCCTTCCTGCATTGTCCCTGTCAAGTCTTCGGAAAACCTTGTATATTTCAATAAAGCCACCTCTCATTCTTCTACATTTCAATGAGTACAGATCCAATCTACTCAATCTTACCGGTAACAGTCCCCCCATGGCTGGTATTGGTCTAGTGAGCCTTCTGTGGACTGCTTCCATATCCAGTATATCTTTCCTTCGATAGGAGCGCTAAACTGTTCACTGTATTCCAGCTGTTATCTAGCCATTGCGTTGTCAAGTTTTATCAAAAGCTCTCTGCTTTTAAACTCTATTCCCTTTGAAATAAAGACTAACATTCCATTTGCCTTCCTTAGTACCTGCTGAACATGTATGATAGCTTTCAGAGATTCACGAAGGATTCCTAAATCCCTCTGTTCCACAGCTTTCCACATTCTAAAACCATAAGACCATAAAAAAAAAGGGAACAGCAGTAGGCCATTCAGCCCCTCAAGCCTACGCCACCATTTAATAGCATCGTGGTGAACCGACATTCCTCATGTCCACTATCCTTCCCTGTTCTTCTACTGATTAAAAATCTTCCTCAGACTTAAATATACACAAGGACTCTGACCCACAGCTCTTTGCATCAAGGAATTCCAAAGACACTCAACCCTGAGAGAAGAAACTCTTCCCCATTGCAGTCTTAAGTTGCTGCCACTTTATTCCGAGACTATGCCCTCTGGTTCTAGACTCTCCCATGAGGGGAAACCTCCTTTCAGTATCTACCCTGTCAAGTCTCTTGAGAATTATATATGTTTCAAAGAGATCACCTCTCATTCTTCTAAACTCTAGTGAGGACAGTCGCAACCTGTATAATCTTCACTCATAACATAATCCTTCCATACTAGGGATCATCCCCATGAACCTTCTGTGAAATGCCTCCAATGAAATTACATCTTTCCTTATACAAGGTGACCAAAACTGCTCTCAATACTCCATATGTGGTCACACCAGCACCTTGTCCATAAGACTTCCCTACTCTAATATTATCCCATTGAAATAAGGCCCAACATTCCATTAGCCTTCCTGATTATCCTGCTGCAATCGTGTGCTAACTTCCTGTGTTTTGTGCACAAGTACCACCAAGTCCCTTTGTGGTACAGCTTTGTGCAGTTTCTCTCCATTTAAATATTCTGTTCTTTTGTTCTTCCTTCCAAAATGAACAACTTTGCATTTTCCACTATTTGTTAACTTTTTGCCCACTTACTGAACTTACCAATATCTCTCTATGAACTGTCGGTGTCCCTCTCACAGCCTGCCTTTCCACCTATTTTTGTGTCATCTGCAAATTTAGCTACACTACATTCACTTCCTTCCTCCAATGCTCTTCTGAGGGTTGGTGTGAACTCAACAGGCCTGCTTCCACACTGCAGGGATTCTATGATTCAAATGTACAACCTTCAACACTGTGGGCTCTTACCTTATGACTTATTCTTCTGTGAGGTACGCTGTTGACTTAAATAATATTCAGCTCCTCCATATTTCCTACCAAGAGTGTCTGAACTCATTTCACCACATTATATTCCATCTGTCAAGATTTTATCACTTGCTTAATCTGTCTGTATCCCTCTGATATACTTAAACTAGTTCTACTGTAGGAAACTGCTTCTGGCAGAGCTGTCGAAACTCTCAATTTCATGCCTTCATTACTTCTAAGCACAATCACTCCAAACACTGCTGGATAGTCGTCTACACTCTACCAATGGAAGGGTATCCAAATTTTTGTTGTATGTCTCTAAATTTTTATTTTACTACCCCTGTTTTTTGTATTTAAGTTGGCTTCCGCACAAGCAATATTTGAATATTATTATCTTCCTCTTTGATTTCAAATTCATCCTCTGGGTCTGCAATCTCCAGCAGCCTTACTACGCCTTAAAATATCAGTGAACCTCACATTTTGGCTCTTGTGCACCCCCAATTTCTCTTGCTTCACCACGGGTGGCCATGCATTCACCTGCTTTGGCCCCAAGGTCTGGATTACCCTCACAAGCAACACAAGTAGGTGGAGCCAAGTGGTCCATTTCTCTGCCATCTATTGTATTAAACCCCTCCAGCTCATGGTCCTGCTTTAAAATACTCCTTAAACCGTATCTTTTGCCTAAGCTTTAGATCATTTGACCCAATATTACATTATGTGGCCCAGTGTCATATTTTGCTTTATAATGCTGTTGAGAAGGGTTTTGGGGTGTTTCATTATATTTAAAGCTATATAAATTGTTGGTGATGCTGTTGTCTCAGCTAGATAACCATGAAATCTGCTTAATGTACCAGGATACATTAGGATTGATTCCCCGAAGTAAGCTTTTTTTAAGCATAGAAAGCCTGCACGATGATGCCAGTACTAGAATCCATGCTTTCCCCAATGAGTGCGCATGCTTGGTTAACTGCAGTTATCAGTGTCAGCAATCACTGCTT